GGTGGGGGGGGGGGGGGCGGGGGGAGGGAGAGGAAGTCTGGACATTAACAAATTCCCCCCGGACGCTATTTTTAGTTCAAAAATCCGGACATGTCCGGGGGAATCCGGACGAATGGTAACCCTAGCTAGCTAGACATCTAATCACTGGTTGGAGGGATGTGGCTGGGAGCCTGGACTCCTGGGTTCCCTTCCCAGCTCTAGGAAGGGAGTATTGTCTAGGGGTTAGAGAATGGGACTAGAAGCCAGGACTCCTGGGTTCTATTCCCTCACTCATTTACATGTGGCTTTGGGCAAATGGCTTCCCTTCTCCGTGCCTCAGTTTCCCTTCTGCAAAACAGGGATGATGACACCGCCCCATTTCTCCAGGGGCTGGGAGACTTGGCTAACGTGTGATGGGCTATGAGCTGCTCAGCTGGCAGGCACTGGATTAGTTTTTGCTGCTACTCACGTTGTCCCTCTGGTCGAAGTCCACGGAGCTGGAGACGGAGGTGAGGCGCTCATAGCGGTCGTGGCTGTCGGAGTGCAGAGCGGATGCCACGCTGAAATTACAGAGAGGGGACAATCAAAGGGTTAACGAAGGAGACGAGAGAAGCTCAGCCAGGAAGCAGCACCCAGGAGGTCAGAGGTTAATTCAGGTCAGTTTGCCCCAGGCGAGATGGAGAGAGAAGAGCCTCAGAGAGCAGAGAGGACAGCAGTTAGTAGAAAGCCCCTCCTCAGACAGCACCGTTCAGACTGGAGTACAGGGGGTGTGCTGCAGTGCACAGGGCCAGCCTCCCGGACACCCAGCTCTGCCGGCCTTCGCAGGGACAGACAGAAGGGGAGTAGGTGTGAGCAGCTTCCCTGTCCTTCCACTCTCCCTGCTAACCCCTCACTCCCAGGCCTGGCTAGAGACACCCGCAGCAGCTCAGACACTTTCTCAGAGAACATGACGAGTCTGTGCGCATGCGCAGGAGAGAGTGAGGACACAGTAGATTACAGCCATACCCACAAGTGAAGAGGGGCCTGCAGAGGCTTCCACAGGAGGAGAGGTTAGGACTGTTTAGTTTAGAGAGGTGATGAAGAAGAGGCGACCCAATAAAGGGTCACACAATAACCAATGGTAGGTCAGTAGCACGTAGGTCAGTTGGGAGCTCCCGTTTTCCCCTTTATAACCCAACAGCAAGGAGCTGCCCCATGAAATTAAGAGGCAAACTTTAAAACTTATGAGAGGAAGAGATACCCCACACAATGTGAACAGTACCCTGTGGAACTCTCTGCCACAGGATATTATTGAGAACAAGAGCCAGGCAAGGTTAAAAGACAGTAAGAAAGAGACATTTATAGGAATAAATATAAATCACAGTTACTAGCTAGGATAGAAATGTTTGAGGGCTAGAAACACTTCAGCTGATCGTCAATTGCCAGGGCTTCCTATACAGGGAGGTTATTCTAAAATTATCCCCTAGAGGGGTTCTTGGACCTTCTTCTGAAGCCCTTGGCGTTAGTGAACAATGTCAGAGATAGGATCCTGGAAAAGATGGACCACTGGGATGGTTCAATTCCTATGTCCTTCTGGATGAATAAGTGGGTTGGTGGGAGAGTGAATTAACATACATACTTTTTTTTTTAAAACACACACACAGTGTAGCAAATATATTAATGCAAAATATTATAAAATATTTCACTTTCCATTCCAAATGGCAGATGAAATTCAATGTTGATAAGGGCAAAGTAACATTCATTAGGAAAAAAATCCCAACTATGCATATACCGTGATGGGGTCTAAGTTACCTGTTACTCCCCCAGAAAGATCTTGGAGTAACCATGGAGAGTTCTCTGAAAACCACGGCTCAGTGCGCAGCAGCACTCAAGAAGGCTAACAGTATGTTAGGAACTATTAGGAAAGGGACAGATGAGAAGACAGAAAATACCATAGTGCCACGGGACGCCCACACCTTGAATACTGTGTTCAGTTCTGGTTGCCCCATCTCAAAAAGCTCATAGCGGAACTGGAAAAGGTTCGGAGAAAGGCACTGAGGTCCCTAACTGGCCACTCTCGGGGCTACCCTACACCTCTACGAGAAGCTGGGAATGGAAGACTGCATGCATCACTCCATGATTTCCCCAACTCCTCAGCCTGAGCGTCTCTTCCCTTGTTCTCGGATCCTGCCTGCACACCTCCATCATAACTCCCTCTCATGCTCTGCAAGTTGGTTCAAGATCAGGGGGGCTTGTGCACAGTGGGAGGAGCAGCTTGCCCCCCATTCAAACTGGAAACCCTAGAGCTGGGAAACACAGGGGCAGGCGAAAGGAGAGGTCTGGCTGCGGTTCCTTCCCTGCTCCTCAAAGCCAGGCCCGGCAGGGCTTGCTTTAGCCTCAGCTGGGTCCGTACTGCTGAGTCTGGCTGGAAATCCCTTCTCAAAGGGATAGGTTAATAAGAACATAAGAGTGGCAATACCAGGTCAGACCAATGGTCCATCTAGTCCAGTATCCTATCTCTGACAATGGTCCTTGCCAGATACTTCTTGCAGTTGGAGGTTTAGGGACACCCAGGGCGTGGAGGAGTGTCCCTAACCATCTTTGGCTAATAGCCATTGATGGACCTACACTCCATGAACTTATCTAATTCTTTTTTGAACCAGTTATAGGTTTGGCCTTCACAACATCCCCTGGCAAGGAGTTCCACAGGTTGACTGCGTGCTGTGTGAAGAAATACTTCCTTTTGTTTGTTTTAAACCTGCTGTCTATTAACTTCATTGGGTGATTCCTTGTTCTCATGTTATGTGAAGGGGTAAAAAGAACACTTCTTTAGCCACTTTCCCCACACCAGTCATGATTTTATAGACCTCTATCATATCCCCCCATAGTCGTCTCTTTTCTAAGCTGAAGCATGCAAGTCTTTTTAATCTCTCCTCATGTGGAAGCTGTTCTATACCCCTAATTGTTTTTGTTGCCCTTCTCAGTACCATTTTGAATTCTAATGTATCTTTTTTGAGATGGGGCGACCAGACCTGCATGCAGTATTCAAGATGTGGGTGTACCATGGATTTATATAGTGGCATTATGATATTTTCTGTCTTATTATCCATCGCTTTCCTAATGGTTCCTAACATTGTTAACTTTTTTTGACTCAGCTGCACATTGAATAGATGTTTTCAGAGAACTATCCACAAGGACTCCAAGGTCTCTTTCTTGAGTGGTAACAGCTAATTTAGACCCCATCATTTTATATGTATAGTTGGGATTATGTTTTCCAATGTGCATCACTTTGCATTTAGCAACACTGAATTTCATTTGCTATTTCCCACCCCCCCTTTACCTCCCAGTTTAGTGAGATTGCTTTGGCACTTTGCAGTCAGCTTTGGACTAAACTATCTTCAGTAATTTTGTATAGTCGGCAAATGTTGCCACCTCTCTGTTCACCCCTTTTCCACACCAATTATCTGGATTAAGCAAATTGTTCAGGGAGCAATAGAAGGGGAGGAGGTAATTTCTGCCCAGAGGAGGTGGTGAAGAAGAAGGTCAGGATCCTGGAACGCTTTGCATTAGTAGCATCACAGCTGAGAAGGAAACGAGGCCAGAGAACATAGTGGGGGACCTGAACATGCACTTGGAGCTTGAGAAAGTGAGAGTTAGGCTGCTGAGGAAGCAAAGGTGGAGCGTGTGATTACCTGAGGTGTGAGTTATAAACAGCAGGACACTCAGAGTTCTAGCAGTGAAGAGGGGAGGCCTGGAGATGGCTAAGCCCTGAAAGCCTCCAGCACGGGCCCTGAACCACATAGCAGTTGGCTATGGCAGATTCTGGGGCAGCTTGCTGCTGAAGCGTTCAAGGCTGGCTGATGTGGAACATGCAGAAGGCCTCTCTTTATGAGCAAAGACCAAGATGGCTGTCCACAGATAGGCCACAAGCTGGTTGCTGTTCTGGACAAGGTTGGAGCTGTGGGGCAAAGGAGCAGCTGAAGTCACCGAGAAGAGAAACAGTGGGAGAGTCCCAGCAGGCTAAAACCCTGGAAGGGGAAAGGAGGGATGAATTGAAGGAAGTGGGAAAACCTGGCAGCAATAGGAACAGAGGGAAACATGGAGCCATTCAAACTGGACCCTCCGAACAGGCACTACCAGTCAGAGGATCAGATGGAGAAGAGCCCAAGGGAGGTCAGGGGCCCAGCAAGTGAGCAAGAGGCAAATGGTCCTCATTAGTGATTTCCTGGTAAGGCCTATGGCCAGAGACACCTGTGACCAAGCTAAAGGAATCAGGAGGATACGTGTTGCCTGCCAAGTGTCCTGAGAGGAGACTGGAGAAGAGCAGAGCAGCTCTGGAAGAACTTGGCTCTCCCTCCATCCCAGCTGCCACCTACATAGGAATTAATGCCATGAGCGAAGGTTGATTAGAAAGGCTTCAAGGGGTGTGGGAAGAAATGAGAGTGAAGAGCTGATGAGACAGATGCTTGCAGGTCTGAGGCTGCATATGCAGACACAGCCCTCCACAGGGGAGAGCCATTCTCTGCACTGCCCTGGGAGACTTAAATTGGGATCCCCTACTCAGCTCTGGGCCCCTCAGTTCCACATGCCTTATGGCTCAGAGCAGGGAGGGGCTAGCTCCTCTCTCTGGCTCCATAGCTGGGTGACTGTGTTCTGTTCTGGGCTCCTCGGTACCAGAAAGACAACAAACCGAGGGTGTGCAGAGAAGGGCAGCGAGGGACTAATTTAGAGAAAAGAATGAGGAGGGTTAAATCTGACGAGCTTGGCTCGGCAATGAGAATGTGAATTGAATGGGAGGAGGAGGAGAGGGTCTGTTTGGGGATATGCAGGGGGGCATAACTAGGAGTAATGCCGCAACATTAACAAAAGGATTATTCTGAACGACACTCGGGAGACACTTCCTGACAGTGAGATACCCTGGGCTCCCACGGGGCGCTGGCAGCCCCGGCAACTAGGATGTTTAACGCCAGGCTGGGCAAAGCTCTAGCAAAACTTGCTGTAGGGCCTGATCCTGCCTGGTCCCCAAGAGCTGGTTGACATGGGACCGGGCAGGCCTTCCCCCCATCTGCATCGTCTAGGATTCGATTTCTACGCAGCTATGACTCACTGGAGGAGTTAATAATCCTGCGCACAGGGAAACGAACACATACAGCACCCACCAGGGGGAGCCAGTGAGCAACGTGTTGCCAGGCAGATGACGGGGAAGGTTTGCAGCGGTGTGATGCCGATGTGATGCAGGCAGCCGCGTGGGTGGGGAGCCCTGCAGGGCTGAGCGCTCCCCACTCCTACCTGAGAGATGCGGGCTGGTCTCCTCCTTAGGGCATGCAGCCGGCCTTCTCCTTCGCTTCAGCTGACACCGGCTGGCTGACTCACTGATTGCGGGGGGACTCCCCGGGGGCCAGATAACTGAGGCCCAGGGCCGAAGCAGACAGACAGGTGTGCGCAGGGACAGACTGACACAAAAACACACCACATGAAGCTGCCAGATATTTGCTAGCAAGGAGCAATGTTACAGCGGGAACCTACCAGGCTCACTGTGGCTGGCGTTGCTTCTCCGTGGGTGCGGTGTCCCAGCCCATCACGGAGATCCAGATTATAACTGGGGGAGGGGAGCTGCTGTCAGCCATGGAGGAGGAGGGGTCTGGCCGGGGTTTCCTCCCTCAGCTCCATGACTTGGAGGTGAGCCTCACATCAAGGTTCAAACGGCAGGTTGGGGAGACACCCACCCCCGTAGATCACCCGCAAGGCCTGTGCCTGCTGCTGGCTGAGAAAGAGGGAGGAAGAAGCCACGGAGTCTCTCTGGACATGTTTGCTCTAGGCCCCAGTGATAGCGGGTGGTGTGAAAGGCAGGGCCGGCTCCAGGGTTTTGGCCACCCCAAGCAGCCAAAACAAAACAAAACAAAAGGCCGCGATCGCGATCTGCAGAGGCAATTTGGCGGGAGGTCCTTCACTCCCAGGCGGAGTGAGGGACCGTCCGCCGAATTGATGACGAATACCTGGACGTGCCGCCCCTCTCCAGAGCGGCCGCCCCAAGCACCTGCTTGAGAAGCTGGTGCCTGGAGCCGGCCCTGGTGAAAGGTCTGTCCCATCTCTGCTGCCTTGCTCACACTGAGTGGACCTGCTTGCATCTCCCGGGGCAACACCCACAGCTGGATTTGTGCCTCCCCCAGCAGCACCGTGGCCAGGAGAGATGGGGCCTCTCTCTAGGTGGGGCCCAGCACCCACATTGTTAGCAAAAAGGCAGATAAGTTAGTCTGGGAACAGTTCACCCCACAGCCTCACCAAGGGCAAGATTCAAACACAAGAAAATCTGCAGGATTTGGGACAAGCACAAGTTGCCCTCTCCCTGCATAGGCGCACACGGCTACAGGCAGCAGCCCTCCTCCTGTGGTCCCCACACTGGCAGCACAGCATTAGCCTGAGTCCCACCAGCCAGCCAGGGCACACGTGGAGGAGGATGAGTGACTGGGCACTGGTGCTTCCTGCATCATCCCAAGTGAGCCAGACACACAGAATGAGGGCCAGACACTTTCTCAAACCAAAGGCTGCAGACCGTGGCTCTGCACAAAGTACCAAGAGTGCCAGAGTGGGGGAAAATGGCAGGATGGCCCTCTGCTACCTCCCGTGCCCTGCCCACAGCCCCTACCACCTGGCTCCAGTGCCAAGCAGGGCAGCAATGGGAACTTGACAAGCACAGAGCACTCCTGAGATGTTGTCAGTTTCTGTTGCTGCCCTGCTCACCCCTGGCGCTGAGCAGAACTTAGAAGACAGGCACCAGTTTGCTGTGTACTGCCTCCCACCCTGGTCCTGCGTGAGGGTGAGAGCCAATCACCCCCCATCCAGGCTAGACAGTGTAGCCAGTTAAAGCAGCACAAGAAAGACTCAGGGATCAGACCTAAGCCTCTGACTGCCAGGTGCTGGGACTGGACGACAGGGGATGGATCACTTGATGATTGTCTGTTCTATTCATTCCCTCTGAAGCAACTGCTACCAGCTGCTGTCAGAAGACAGGATACTGGGCTAGATGGACCTTGGGTCTGACCCAGTGTAGCCGTTCTTATATTCTAGACTGTGGGAGATGGAGCATTTTTAAGAAGAAGTCAAAATGCAAAGGGACATCCCCAGTGGGGAAACAAGAAGAATGTGTGGCTGTACAAGGGGCTATTCAGAGTCTGTCTGACCAGCCCACATACTGACTGCTGGGGTTTACAATGGGCAGTGCCAAGCCAAGGTACCAGATGGTGCTGGCAATGGTTCTGTAATAGGAAGCTCATGTCTGGATTACTGGCTGAGCTGGAGGGAGGGATTGGGACAGTGCACCAGTGCATTAATTCACAGCTGCTTATTCTTCGGGTGTGGTAGCTGAATTCTGGCTCCCCTAGGGCTTATATGATCAAAGCCTAGCTCTGAACAGGGGGTGAGAGAAACCCCTTTCCCTATTCACCCCAATAAAACAGCAGTAATGACAGGTAGTCTGTATCCAGGGTTCCCAAGTATCCCTGTTGCCTCACTATCCGTAGACACACAGGGGAAGGGTGGAGGAAAAGATCTAGGGGTAAGTAGTGTGGGGACCCAGCCAGCCTTTGGAAACGGGCATGATTTGGTCCCTGTCCCAGTTCCAGCACACACATGAATTTGTGGTGAAGCAGGGTGAGTGCTGTGGTACCCTCCCAGGATCACAGTGGCATTGCTGTTGTTTGACAGGGACCAGAAAGAGCCCCGTCCCTTCCCAGCTGTGATGTATGGCTGAAAAATCTGCATTGATCAGGAGACATTAATCCCAGCCCTGAACCCCTAGCCATTTCCAAAGGAAAAAAACAGGAGAGAGAGGGAAGGAAAAATACCCTGAAAAAACAACAACATACTATTCCCGCTCCGTTCGCTCTGTCTGCCAGTGCCGCCGCCTGGGGGCAGAGAAACAAAAAGGGAGGGTTACAACAATGGGAACTTTGCAGCACCCACAGGGAGCCTCCTCGGCCCCAGTAGACACAGCCTCGGGCTGCCTCTCACCATCCTGGGGAGAAACCTGTCAACATTTAGATCAGAGAGAGAAAATAAAGGAAAAACTTCCTTGCAGCACTCAGTTTCCCAGCACACTGCAGGCTCCTCAGGGCAGGGCCCTATCATGTTTGTCTGGAAATCTCATGCACACCTCTTATCATAAATATAGAGGGAAGGGTAACAATCTTTATGTATGCAGTAGTATAAAATCCCTCCTTGGCAGCCGTACTGAATCGCCTTACCTGTAAAGGGTTAAGCAGTTCAAATAACCTAGTTGGCACCTGACCAGAAGAACCAAGGAGGAAAGAAGATGCTTTCAAATCTGAGAGAGGAAGGATTTGTTTGTTGTTCTCTTTGTTTGTTCCCTCTCTGGATGGAGAGAGAAGCCAAGCAGGTACAACATCTCCTGAAAATAAACCTGGAATAATCCATCTAAAACCACAGAAATTGTAAGTAGGATAAGGAAATGCGTTAGGTTATCTTTTGTTTTAGCTTGTGAATTTCTCCTATGGTATAGAGGTAGTTTTATTCCTGTTTTTGTAACTGTAAAGCTGAGCCCAGAGGGGAGTCCTTTGTGTTTTAAATCTTTTTACTACCCTGTAAAGTTACCTTCCATCCTGATTTTGCAGGTGTGATTCTTTTTTCTTTATAATAAAGTTCTTCTTTTAAAAACCTGATTGATTTCTGTGTCCTGAAGACAAAGGGTCTGGTCTGTGCTCACATTGCTAATCAATTAGTTGGTATATTATTCTCAAGCCTCCCCAGGAAAGGGGGTGAAGGGACTTGGGGGGATATTTAGGGGGAAATAGGGATTCCAAGCGACCCTTCCCTGAATTTGTGTGTAAATCACTTGGTGGAGGCAGCAATACCATCCAAGGACGAGGAAAGGAATTTGTGCCTTGGGGAAGTTTTAACCTAAGCTGGTAGACTATAAGCTTAGGGGGTCTTTCATGCGGGTCCTCACATCTGTACCCCAGAGTTCAGAGTGGGGGGGAATCCTGACACCTCTGGTGCTGGCTCCGTCTGTAACACACATCGACGAGATCTGCACTGCACTACCACCAGTAGCGACAGTCACAAGAAGGGTCTTTAGTTTGGAGTGGGAGACCCTAGGATGCGCTGGGCTCTGGGAACCTCTCAGATTCTACTTGGGTTTGCATCTAAATCTGGGATTTTTGCAGAACATTTGCACCATCACTTAAACTATTGCTTCCCCAAACGGAATGAAACAAACGTTGTTTTTCCATCCTGAGCCAGTGCAAACAGTGTCTTCAAGGATAGATTAGCTTGCCCGGCTTCAGGGAATTAAATAAGGAAATACACAGCAGCCCAGAACTCAGGGAACCCCCAAAACTCCAGGTTCTGTCCCAAATCTAGAACCAACAATATACAAGTGGCTCCTAAATCTGGTGAAATGAGCTCTCCACTCTCTAGTTTTAGTGCAAAACAAGTGTAAGGCCCAGGGAACTCATGCGTACCAATGATGCACAGCTCTTTACAAACATGCGGAGTAATCTGTTCTGCCATTCCAGCAGAGGGGGCCACTCCAACCAGGTGGGACCCTCCTATGACAGCTACAAAAGAAAGGGAAAACACCAGCTGATCTTCAGGAACTGCCCTCCCTGGGAATGTCAGCCCAACTCCAGACCAGACAGGGCCAGCTGCTGAAGAATTGAACCTGGTGAGCTGAGAGAACTGCACTGACTGGGGCCACTGATCTGGTGCAGCTGTTCCAGGCTAGGCCAAGATCCCTGCAGGGCTAAATCAGAGGAACCCGCTGGTTCAGCTTCCCTTCCCGTCTCTCTTTTGTTCCTTCTCTTGAGCGGTTCTTGCGCATGGAGGCCTCTCCCTACAGTGCTGTCCAGCCAGCCCAGACTGACAGAGAGGGAAGGAGGCCCTGTGTGAGGAGAGGGGACAGTTTAGGACAAGCAGCTCCGCCTTTCCTAGAGGCAAAGCCCCACTGACTCCCAGGGAAGCAGGATTTGACCCGTGTTCCACTGTCTGGTGCATCCCGAATGGGCTGCATGAAAGTGTCACACCACAGAACTCCCTCCCCCCTGGCAGGGACCAAAGAGTCAGCAGTGACATGAGGGAAGACTAGGAGCGCTGGCGCCAGGGAAGCACCTATCAGATCGAGGGTGCTGCCCTCTGGCCCTGGTCCTCAATGCAGCCTTCCCTCCCACACACTTATGCAGCTGACCCAGCAGTAGTGGAGACAAATCAGGGCCACCCACGCACAGTGTGCAAGGCGCAGCCTATAGGATGGTTTAGATCAGGGGTAGGCAACCTATGGCACGCATGCCAAAGTCGGCACACGAGCTGATTTTCAGTGGCACTCACACTGCCTGGGTCATGGACACTGGGCCGGGGGGCTCTGCATTTTAATTTAATTTTAAATGAAGCTTCTTAAACATTTTAAAAACCTTATTTACTTTACATAGAACAATAGTTTAGTTATATATTATAGAGTTATAGAATGAGACCTTCTAAAAACGTTAAAATGTATTACTGGCACACAAAACCTTAAATTAGAGCGAATAAATGAAGACTCGGCACACCAATTCTGAAAGGTTGCCGACCCCTGGTTTAGATTAAGAAATTAGTGGTAGTTACATTTAGGGCCTAAGTGTAGAGGAGTCAGGGGAATGGAGGTTGCGAGTTAGAGAGAAGCTGGAGACCGTAAGATGGGAAAACTGCATTTAGCAAGGATGTGAGCCAGGGTTATGGTGCAGTTATGTTTTGGTTATAACTGCTTCAAGCAGGGTTTCTAATGAGTGTTTTTGAGAATTGTGAATGTTTTTTTTATAATTCTGTCTGTATTGATAGTATGGGAAGGACATTGGGTCAGATGTTCATTTACATAATCATAGAATATCAGGGTTGGAAGGGACCTCAGGAGGTCATCTAGTCCAACCTGCTCAAAGCAGGACCAATCCCCAGACAGATTTTTGCCCCAGATCCCTAAATGGCCCCCTCAAGGATTGAACTCACAATGCTGGGTTTAGCAGACCAATGCTCAAACCACTGAGCTATGTAAAGAGCCAATAAGGAAGAGGAGGAAATATAATTACGGTAAGGGGCAGTGTAATGTTAAGTAGTACGATAATAGATTATAAAAGGAGTTGATTTGTAAATTTGGAAGGAGCTCCAATAAACGTCCAAAGGGTCCCGTTAGGTTCCAGGATCATCAGACTGTTGTCAGTGGACTGATCGCTCATTGATTAAGTAGTAATTGCATCCCTGTTTGCTTAGCGATGCATTTTGCTTCTGAATAAAGTTTGGTTTTATCATTCTAAGTGATGCCTAGTGGTCCTCTACTAAATGCATTTTCTGTATTCCACCTAGAGGCTCACATTTGAAGACTATGTTGGGCTTTGTTGCACCCTTATCTTTAACAGCTCCATGTTAACTGGAAACATTTCAACCTACGGCTCCCAAGGATCCAGTTGCAGAGATCTCCCATCCCCACTCCTGCCGCTAGACAGATCGGCCCTATGGGTCCATTTACTGATGGGGCAGAGCAATTCGTTGTGGTGCGACAAGACTCTGGCTGCCTCCTCTCAGCCCCAGATTCCTTCTTTGACCTGGGGGATGTAATCTCGTCCCATCCGCGTCAGCAGCAAACACAGGACCTAAAAGAATGGCCCCGGCCTCTGAAACAGCTCCCCACTATTATCTGCACAGGACTGGAAGAGGCATTCTCACCATCTCCCTGCCCCAGTCAGGAACGGGAGGTGGCTAGAAAAACCTTCACACAGATATTTTTAAAAAGCAACAGAGGGTCCTGTGGCACCTTTAAGACTAACAGAAGTATTGGCGCATAAGCTTTCGTGGGTGAATGCCCACTTCATCAGAGGCAAGCGTCTGCTCCAATACTTCTGTTAGTCTTAAAGGTGCCACAGGACCCTCTGTTGCTTTTTACAGATTCACACTAACACAGCAACCCCTCTGATACAGATATTTTTGTTGTTCCAGCTCCTATCTGTTCTGCATGGAGTGTGTCCCTGCCGCAGGTTACCCGAGGGGCAAAAGGTTTGTCTGTCTAATTGAGACTGCAGGCCCCCTGGGGCAAGTGCTGTGTCTCCGTACATGGGTTGTACATCAGTGCACAGACACAGAGTGCGTTTGGGCTCTGGCCAGCTGTCACCTTTAGGATCCCATGGGGGCTGTGTTTCTTGTTCCAACCCAAAACTAGCAGCACTTGGGCACCACATTTCATGGGAAAATCCAAAGTGTTCCCTAGGGAAGCAGCATTCCAGTCACCTTTGCCCTGCTGCCCGCCCGGGGATGGATAGGAGAACCTGCTTGTCTGCTAGAAGCCCAGCGTGAAGCAGCTGGAACCTGGCACAGTTCTCAAACTAGTGCCTCTCTCAACTACCCCACGGGGATCATGGCTTCCTGCAAAATCTCCCACGTAGCCCTTCCCTGCCAGGTCACACCAGCCCCCACAAGCGGCCATGCTATTGAGGCTAAAAGCACACAGATGGGGATGCTCTGCTGCCAATACCTGCTCCTGTCTCAGCGACTCTCCTCTGGGCCTCCTAGTGCCCCAGCTTGCCAGCTGGGCATTATTTGTTCCATGTTAGCTGCAGCTCTCCTTCCAGTTGGCAGCACCCAGACATAATGCGATTACTCACAGATAGGTGCTAGCAAGGGCAGCAGGCCTTCTAAGCACAGGGCGAGGATCCACCTGCTAGCCAAGCTGTGCCAGTGTAACGCCAACAGATCCCGGTCATCGGCGGGCGGGATCGAACCTGGGACCTCTGAAGCTTAATGCAGGAACTAAAAGCCACATGCCTCTTAGCTGAGGCTGCAGCAGACTCATTAATTTCTAAGAGTTCTAGGTGTCACTAGAGGGGGACAGAGCACCACGCCCAGCAGGCATGGGTTGCACCAGGATTGAATAGAACCTCACCTAGCATGCGAGGCGGGGCCCATCCCACATAGGAGGCAGCTCTGAGGGTTCTGGAGGGCACCGATATCCCCAGGTCTGAGGGAGCCATGTTTGGAGGAAAAGTGTGTTGGTGGGAGGAGAGGACCAGGCAGGGAGATTTGAGGTTTGCACAGTTCTCAAAGGGACTGAGCAAGTCAACAGAGAAAAAATGTCCCCCTGGGGAAGGGGACGTGGCCTAAAGCTGAAGAACAAATGCGGAACCCGGGCAGAGCCATCCCTCAAAGGGGAAGAGCAGACCGGGCCAGTTACCAGGGCAGACAGTTGGCACTGGGTGAACGAAAGAAGGCAGCATGGCCCAGGCTAGTCTCTCTCACCCTTTTCAGGCTGGTGACCCCTTATTCCTTGTCAAAAAATGTCATGACCCGCCCTGTATAAAAAGGAAGAGTAGGAGATGTATCAATGCAAACAGCGCAAAGCCTGGATAGTTCATTTGTGGGAGTGGCTGGCCAGGGTGGTAGAGAACACTGGACCTTGAAGTGTAAGGGCATGTGAGATGTCATTTGCTTTACAGTGTAATAACTCTTCCAACTCCTTGCCATGACCCCGACTGCCTTTGGTGCCCCCCCAGGGGTTGTGAGCCACTGGTTGAGAAATGCTGGTCTAGAGGCCTGAGCTTGGCACTGGGAGCCAGAAGCCCTGAGGCATGGAGGCACCTTGAAGTGAAGCTACTTGCCAAAAGCGCAGCGCCCGTCACGTTCTCCCCGGGGATGGTATCCCCTCCCTGCTCCAAAACAATGCCTCTTACCCTGCCACCCATGCTGCCCTGGCCTCACTGCAGCCACATCACATGGCAGGCTCGGTAGTTAGTTGCGTATTCTCACCCTGGGTCTCACACGCCATTGCTGCTGACCAGGTGCCTCCGTCCCATTGAGATCTAGTCGTGGATTACTTTCCCCACAAGGGATCAGCTACGTTTCCTCACATGGCTACCTCCTGCCTGCTTTTCCCCATCTCTCTGGGTCCCCTGGTGCTGTTTTCTCTAGCCTCAGCAGCATTCACAGCTCCGCCTAAGTAAGGAGGAGACAGAGTAGCTCTGGAGATATAGCGGATTAATTTATTCAAATAAAGGTCCTTGTTCAGTGTTAGAAGAAAGCAACTCTGCCATTCTTTCCTTTGTCACGTAACAAGAGGTGCAAACCAGACTAATTTGAATGCTTAACACACAGAACAATGACGCAAAGGTCAGCCTGGTAGCTTTTGCAATGGAAAGTGAAACTGAAAATATGTAGAACTCCTTTGCCTCCACTATGGCAGGCGGTGCGAATACCTGGGACTTGGCTCTTCCGAGATTCTCCGAGTGCTTCGTTCCACAATGGAATTAATGTACCTGGGTACAATGACCCAGAGAGCATGGAACCCTTTCTAAAGGCCCTTTCAGCCGGAGCTGAGCAGCGTCTGAACACGAGATCATCTAGCAGTTGGGATTTGAAACAAGGAACGTCATGGAATAAGGAGAACAGTGCAGCCCCTGAACCTACTCTGCCTCTTGTTGCTTCACTGTCGAGCTGGCGTCCTGCGACAGACTCATTAATATTCACATACTCTTCTTCCATTTCAGTAAAGAAGTCATACCCAGCAGGGATCTTTAGACACTTCTTCCAGCTGGTACACTGCATTTCTTCATCAGAACCCTTGGCTCAGTCCTTCAGCCAGTTTTCAGTCCACGTGGCAGTGTCTTAGCCTAGCCACGTCCAATTATATTTTAAGACTAAGATTCCATTAGCAGTTAGGGGAAAAGCTTTCCCTTCGGCCACTAACACAGCCATCAAGAACTTCACTTGGATCCCTTCTCCAGACTCACTTCACTCACGCTTCCAGCTCAGAGCCCTGCTTCTGAGCCACCCATGCTCGGCTACTTTTGCTTCCTCAGATTTAGTGCCATGACCTGTACAGTTAAGAGCTACAGTACCTGAAAACCCAGCCCGTGACTCCCAATCTACTTAAAAAGAAATCAGTACAGAAAAGAAAAAGTACAATCCCCTCCAGCTGTGTTGCTAACAAAGCAGTTATTGCGTCAGACCTTGCCCTCCCATAACCTCTTCCCCATCCCACCCTCTTCCTTGCCGGGCCATTGCTGTTCCCACAAGGCAGGGAGCTGTCTGTGCTGTAGAGCAAATCGTGCACACTGTTGCTGTAGGAATCATAAATCATACATTACAATCCCATCTCCAGAGCCATCTGAGATTTGCTCCTGCACAGGGATGAAGTCGGAATGACAAAGGGCTGGCATGTTGGGCTGCAAGGACTTTCCCTGTTCCTGGGATTTATGGGGTTAGACCAACCTGAGCACTACTCCTTCCTCACCCCCCTGCCATCTGGGCACACAGCAGAGCGTTTAACCCTGTACCCCTGTGCCCACTCCCATCCTGACCTTACCTGTCAGCATCAGTCACCAGGGCCAGACGTCCATAGTCCCAGGCTACTTTACGCAAGATCGAAAAGACAAACAACAGTGCCTGCAAAAGTGCCAAGAGAAGCTATGAGACAAGGCCCCCCCGGCTGGGGAAGCAGCCCGCCCTGACACTCCCTCCCCCCGCCCGGCCGTCTGTCTGGCATGGAGAGAACAATGACAGGGGACAGAGGAAGCAGCTGGCTCTCTGCTTGGCTTGCTCGTGTGGCATAAGGAATTGGACCCTTGTCACTCAGGTGCGGCAGCATGGCCTGGGAAGAGAGGAGCTGACGGGGAAGTGGGATCCAACATCACAAGCACAAGATCTCCCCCGTGACCACGTTCGCGCTATCACAGCTTGACCTGCTGTCAGAGGTGGCAGCACTACAGAGCGGGCGTCAGGCTCTGCTTGGGTGGCTCAGCTACTGCAGCTGAATGAATGACTGGCAGCATACAATAGGAGAGCAAAAGCTTCCCTGAGGCCTGCTCTTGGTGGGGGTGGGGAAAAGATACAGCATGACGTGGGGGTGGCCACAGCTCGACCTGCAGAGCGGATCTCCCATCTGGTGGGCAGAGGGGTGGCCCACAGGAAGTACAGTCCCCGCATGCAATGTGCTATGACCTGAGTGAGTGGGTCGCACTGGGTACTGGGCCTGGAGTCTGTGTGTGGCACCATCCCTGAATCAGAGAGGAGAGGGGTGCACTGCAGAACTCCTGGACTCCAAGGGGGCTGCAACCTGCTCTGTTCTGTCTGTGCTGGGTGCAGCCCTGCAGTTCCTGGCAAGGCACCAACATGGCCCTTGTTTGGGCACCCAGGCCCAGAAAACGGGACTCTGGGATGCAGAATTGCTCACATCTGTTCCCTGGAGTGAGTCTGTAGCATTCTCCCACCAGAGCCCAGAGCTCCAGTACCTGCCCCAGCTGCCATCCTACTGCAAGAGTGGCTGGGAACTTCACTGCTTGCATATTACAGCTCCTTCCTCTGAAAGCACCCCACAATAGGGCTTGGCAGCATTCGCCCGCAGCTGATCCTGTCCCAGCCCAGAAACACATCCGAACAGGACAGGGGCTGCGAGGAGACAAGCGAGCCATGAGCAGCGTGTGCCCACAGCTTACAACGGACGCCGGCCACACCAGAGAGGTGGATCCAACGCAGAGACCCTAGGTGAAGGAGCTCTGTGAAGTTTGGGGGGGGGGGGGGCGGGGAGGAGGGGCATTGTTAGCTTCGAGGCCTAGCCCTGGCTGGAGGCCCCACAGGAGTGGCTGCTGGCTAATGCACAGGCAGAGCGGAAGCATGCTGGGTCATCCATCCTGCCAGCCATGCACACAGATCAAGGCTGCATTTGTCCAACACCTAGCACATGACTCGGGCTCCTAGGCACTATGGTAATACAAACCAATAATAATAAATAATAATAATAATAGGTGGCAACCTGGCCTGCTCTCCAGAGCACAAACAGATGACACCTTGCCGCCTCCCAAGCCCTCATATCACTAGCGGAGATTGAGCCATCTGTTCTCAGACTATGCAGGAAGCAGCAGAAGAATCAGAGGGGGGCTTGGGGCTGGCAAGGCAGGAAAGCCCAGTGCCTTGGCATTAGGTTGGCCTGAGTCACATACATAGCCCTAGTGGCCACCCCAAACCTCCACGTTCCCAGCCCCAACCCTCTCCCCATCCCTGTCTTCCTGCCTGTCAAGTTCAGGCTGCTCCTTAGCGACGTGAGCTAGGGCTGGAGGGAACACGGCACGAAGCTGGGCACGTCCCAGCTGGCCCTAACTGGCCCCCTCATCAGCAGCCCAGCCAGAGAAGCCAAAGGACTGAATAGACCACAGAGAGCGAGTTCCCTGGCACTGTTCCTTCCAGCAGGGCTGCAGGACAAGCTCGCCCTGCCCGCACTGCGCCGTTCCGCGCCATTTCAGCGGGAACACAGTCACGGCATTTTTTTCTTAAAGCCATTGAAAAAAAACCATTGTGCTTTGATGACTGAGAGCCGGGGTTCCCCAGCCGGCCAGCCTACCGCTGCCAGGGGAGGGGGCTGTGTTAGAGCAGCACACGGGTGGGTAAGGAGATGCAGGAAGAACAATATTGTGCTTTTCTAGAGACTGGGTTGTCAAAGCGCTTGGCAGGGGCTAATTCCTTGAGCTTCAGAACCACACTGGCTCTGGGAGGTCAGTGTCAGAATCCCTATCTCACTGAGGGGAAACCAAGGCACAGAGCGGTCAAGTGACCTGCCCAAGATCACAGAGGAGCCAATAGCAAAAGCTGAGAGGAGAATTCAGGAGTCCTAGCTCTAACCACTCTCTATCCTGAGCTGGCAACCAGGGCTAGGAGTCTTGACTCCCATGCATCCCAGCGCCAATCAGTAGATTACACTCCTCCTCCCACATCTGGGGATAGAACCCAGGAGTCCTGACTAGTTACGTCCATCCTTCATCCTCACAGCCATGCACCACCCCAGGCAAACGGCAGCAGCACAATGGTGCGGGAGACTTACCAGAAAGCACATGAAGTCGAGGGCTAGGACGGTGGGCACTCCCCCAAAGGGCAAGCCCTGCAGCACAGTGCTGCGGATGCGGGCACTGTAGCAGTAATCCTTGGTGCTGCTGTTACAGCCGGGGAGCTTGCAGTTGGCTCCTGCCGAGCCCAGGGTGGCAAACAGGAAGGGAAGCATCTCTACTGCCTCATCGTCTTACCTGGAGGAGGGGGGAAAAGGTACAGTTAGAAACACACCCAACCAACTAGTCAGCAGCCCGTTTAACAGGAGGTAGCAGCAGGTGAGGAGATCCCAGGGCCAGCTCACCCATTGCCATCTTCCACAACCTCCTTCCAGCCTCCTCTGCGCAGCAGCCTCTTGCATTACAGTCTCAAAGGGAGCTGGCTAATGAAGTTACTAACTGGCCAGCGATCACGTGTGGGAAGTCCTGGAGAACCAGGGAGGTACCAAAGGACTGGGGAAGAGGAGACCTACTTTGCTTCAGTCTTCTCTCAAAAAATAACATAATATGTGACCAGATGACTAGCGAAGTTACCACAGATAATAGAGGGGAAGGGATTCAGCTCGGGATAAGTAAAGAACACATCAGAGATCATCTGACCAATTTGAACGAATTCAAATCATAGAACCATAGAATCATGGAATATCAGAGTTGGAAGGGACCTCAAGAGGTCATCTAGTCCACCCCCTCGCTCAAAGCCGGTCCATCCACCAGATAAATCATCCCAGCCAGGGCTTTGTCAAGCCAGGCCTT